AGCTTATCGAGAGCCTTTGTCTATGCCTTTGTGATGAATCACTGTTCCCTTGGGCCTGCACGCTAGGTTAATTAATTACCGATCGCCTCAGCTAGCCAATGGGAATTTAGCCGGCGGTTCGGCCAGCGAAAATCGAAAACATGGTGTGATGGTTGCAGGCCCACTATCAGTTCCCTTGGGCCTGCACGCAGGCTATCTCTGCTTGTAAACCTATGTTTGCAGTTTTGGAGGAAGGGTGCACTCCCTGAAAAATCTACACCCTCTTTTATCAGCCTTACATGTACCGTCTCTTTGGTGTACCGTGCATGGTGTATTATATTTTGGTATAAGCTGGTATTTATAAGCTGGTAATAAATTATGGTACTTGTGTACATATCACCTTCATCAATTAGGGAACAATGTGAACTAAAGAAGAAATTAATTAAAGAAGATGCTCTCACATGGTTTGACAAAGATTCCAATAATGAAGAAAATATTTTGCTGAATTATGTTGGTGGTGTTGATATCTCGTTTGTCAAAGGTGATGACAAACATGCCTGCTCCGCCTTGGTCATTTTATCATATCCTGAACTAGAAGTATGATTTATTTAATATCACACCGATGTAAATGTTTAATAAATTGTGTAGTTATTAATATGTACAATACGCATATTTGTATGTAGTTAACTAGATACACTAACGCCACAAACTGGGTAAGAAAAATTGCTCCAAACTCTTTGCAAACTTCAGATAAAAAGATTAGGGTCAGTGATTTCAATGGCCAAAGGGTAGATAGGGTTGGGAAACCCAGGTATTTTTTTCTTCTGTCTTTTAATTAGATACATTTATCAACACAAATTGTTGCAATTACCAGGTCGTGTACGAGGATTACGAATTCGTCCATTTAACTTCACCTTATATCCCAGAATTCCTGGCTTTCCGTGAAGCATCATTTCTGGACGATCTTATAACGAAATTGAGGAAGAATAATCCAGAACTACTGCCCAAGGTACTTTTTTGAACAATCTTGGAAATTAAAATCGATAAATACGTGTTGAAATTGCGCTAATTTTTAAGGCGCGCAGTTGCGCCTTACTACTTTCACCGTGATAGTACTTAACGCTTCATTGCATTGCGCTTGCAGGCATTAACTGCAAAAAATACTGTTTACATAGAAAGGACAATCCCCCGGAACCTGAAAAATTATATAGCCAGAAAAAGCCACGAAGTCTTGTGTCGTCAACCTTGTAACATTCTTGTTATGTCATGACTGTATCAGACTTGTTAGAACAACCTTGTAACATTCTTGTTATGTCATGACTGTATCAGACTTGTTAGAACAACCTTGTAACATTCTTGTTATGTCATGACTGTATCAGACTTGTTAGAACAACCTTGTAACAAGTCTGATTTTGCCATCAAGGCCAAGCTTGTTACATGGAAAAGCGTGTGTATAAAATGTAATTCCGCTCGAAGTTTAATGAACTCTCCATTGACATGCTGCTTTTAGACAAATGTAATGACTTGGTTGTTCAAGTATTGTCCGTTGTGTGTGTTTAGTATACCTTGTAAATTGTTTCTGTATAACTATTGGGGCCGCTGTAATTGGCAATAGCTGTTGTGGTTTCCCAGCCAATGAATGTATAAGTATGATGGCAAAGTAAATAAATAAATAAGTTGTTAACAACTTGTTCCAAACTTGTTGCAACAACTAGGAACAAGCAGTGCGAACACAACTTGTCGACAGCTTGTGAACAGATTTGTAACAACTTGTTTGCAGACCTGTAACAACTTGTGCGTTTTTACGTGTGTAGGTGATATTTGTTGATGGCAATGGCGTTTTACATCCAAGAGGTACAATTTGATGTTTATGAAATCATCTTCTCTGCACTCGATTTTCACTCTAATGTCTTCTTAACAATTAAAACCGCAAATACTGAAGATTACACCTGAACTGACCGCCAAGTTTAATTTCAGGATTTGGTGTTGCAAGTCACCTTGGCGTGATTTCGGACATGTGCACGATTGGTGTTGGAAAGACTTTATTTCACGTTGATGGCCTTGAGAAAAATTCTGAACACATGGAAAAAGTAGGTCAAAACAAACAGGTTTTTGTGGATGGAAATGTTTTGAGTGTTATATAGAACTCTAAGACACAACTCGGAGGACTTGCGAAAAATTCAGTTAACCATTGGCCCCACCAGACGCAGTAAGAATGGTGACAAGAAACTAAAGCCCGCCGTAGACTATACAAACGAGAGAAAGTTGCTGAGCTAACCGCCTCGCGTGGCGGCTAGCTCAGCTATGCATTTTCATCGCACAATTTGGGAAAACTACTCAACAACATAATTGACAAAATCGTTTGCATTTTACTCCATTTTGTTCAAAGTCACATGAAGAAACTATGGTTTCTCATTGGCTAATTGATTTGAGCAGCTCAGCACTAAGCTTGCAACATCCGCAGACGTTGACGAGATTTTTTCCTCGCGAGGTGAAAAATATCAAACACGATAGAGATTTTCCTCATCAAAGCCTCGAGAGGTCAAATCCTCACGACTACGAAAACTATCCGCACATGAGAGAGACTTGCTGAGCTGGTTGCCACGTGAGGCGGTTTGCTCGGCAAGTTTCTCTCGCGGTGTGCGGCAGGCTTAAATAAGGCATTCTACTACCACTGTCACCAACCAACCGGCGTAAAACTTTGACTTTTTACCTTTCAGATTAACCAATTACATAAAGCTGGCGACTTTTTTCTCCTGGTTGGCGATTCCGGGACGACCTGGGGAGCAGTAAGATTGATATATTAGATAACTTTAAAAAAATTCATGAGAAAAAGACAAATGAAATCACTGCTGTGTCGGTGGTTTCATATGTAATAAAAAGTCATGTTCATTTACATAAACTTTAGCTTTGATTTTAGGCTTAGACAACGTTGATTTTTAAAATTACTTCGCCAATGAACTCAATAAGATGGGTCGTTTCGTAAGCCATTTATTTTATTTATTTATAAACTTTACAATCAACAAAACGATTGAAGGTACAGACAACAGGACTGAGGAGTCCCAAATCAAGTCCTGCCTACACATTACATTGACATTGTAAAACAATAGAGACAGGGTTACAACTTTAACAAAGCTACAATACAAAATTACAACACACGATCAATGCGTTCCAACCCATCTTTACACTTTCCAAAGTTAATATGGTTTGGAAAATGATCAAGTTAGAAAAAAAAATTATACATATAGATGAGTCAACATTGTGCAGCACAGACATAGACACAGAATACAGTAAACATCCTAAACATGCATGTGCTCCAAGCTGTCCCTGCATTTTCCAAAGATAGTATTTCAAGAACATAGACTGCCCGGGTGTTTTTTTTATCTGCATGGGTGTTCAATTTAATTTATTCAAACAGACTGAAGCAAAGACATTTTGGAAATGCAAAGACAGCTTGGAGCGCTCTCAACTATCATGAACAACAAGTAATAGAACAAGAGCGACATTTAGAACAAATGGCTTTCCATGTCCTCGGACGATCAACGTCAAAGAATGTTTCAAGACTCGCGTTTAAAACACTCGCAGTCCGTGTTTTATCAGATAAAAGACACTCGGTCGGCTTTTGTTTTTTATATCTGTGTTAAAACATGCACCCTCTGCAAACCGCAAGTTGTTACAGAGATCTGCAAACAAGTTGTAACAAGCTTATCCTTTTCCTTACAGGCGTTTAGAAGTACAGACACATCAAAAAACCCAGTTTACGTTTCGATTGGTCATAAGATAAGTCTGGAAACTGCGCTGAAGATATGCAAGCTATGCTGCAAGCACCGAGTACCTGAACCTATTAGACAGGTATAAAATCTAGTCAAATATTTCAAATGCCCAACAACGATTCTCAACGTGTTCTGTTATATTTTAGGCTGACATTAGATCACGTGAGTTTCTACGTCAGCACTACGAAACCATGGTGACGAAATGTTGTACCGACGAGGAACATTGTGGATCGGAAGGGGTAGCAAAAAGTTGGTGGGACTGGTGTCTAATACTTTGAAAAGAAAACATCTTAACTATGCAATGGGCACTTATGGGCACATGTGGATAACATTATCTGCACCATAGATATCTTATATACACTAGATAGTGCATCTAGTTATTCTTGCAATTCAAAGATTGAAGCCGTGATTGCAGACTCAGGATATTCCCATGAAATGAGAAGACTCGTATGTTTTCTATTTCTTAAACAGGGAACATGAACATTAAGTTAAACCTATTCCAAATACATTTTCAAACTGTTCAAATGATGAAAGTTATTGTTGTTTTTTAAGCGTTTATTAGCGAGTGGGAAACTTCAACATGGCCGCCATCTATTCAAATGGGGATAACCGCTGGAATATTCTTGGCTTCAATTTTTACTTAGAGATGCGCCATCTAGTGTGTATAAGATATCTATGATCTGCACTCATCAGCACCGATCAAAATCTGGGCTTACGGATTCAAAGATTTGATTACGATTAACATTTCTATAGCCCAAATTTCCATGTGAATATGATCAAGTGCGCTTTACATCAAGTATCACGCTTACCTAATTACATACTTAGACTAGACTATTTTATCTTCACAACAATTGTGATATTACTTTCTTAACGGTGTTCATCCTAACCCACCCTGTCAACATTCCTTGTGGGAGGAAACTGGAGCGCACAGAGACTTTCGTCAGACTCATTTCACATCTGAGACCATAGCGAGAATCCAACCCACGATCTAGACATACGTGTTCTTTTGTACAAACACCAATTAATTCCATTAGGTTTTTTAATGGTTGTATAATAATTGTTAAAGCTCATCAGGGGGCAATATTTCCCATTTCTTAAAAAGGGGGTGAGAATTCCGATGCTGCATGACAAAGAACTCGATAACACTTAGCTACGTTACCATAAACAACCTTAAACATGAGTAAATTTTGAACTTAATCTTTATGAAGAATACCTACACTGAACTACCACGTTTGAGATATCTTTTCCAGGTAGTTCAGACACAAACCACGGCAGCTTATTGCAAAATACTACCTACACTGGACCACCACGTTTGAGACTATCATTTTCAGGTAGTTCAGACACAAACCACGATAGCTTATTGTAGAACACTACCTACAATGGACCACCATTTTTGTGATATCTTTTTCAGGTAGTTCAGACACAAAACACGATAGCTTTTTGTAGAATACTACCTACACTGGACCAACACGTTTGTGATATCTTTTTCAGGTAGTTCAGACACAAAACACGATAACTTTTTGCAGAACACTACTTACAATGGACCACCGCGTTTGATATATCTTTTCAATCAGGTAGTTCAGACACAAACCGCGATATCCAATTGCAATGAACACTACGTAGTATCTACCTATTTAGGCAATTCAGACATAAACAGCGCTAAATACGACAAAGGTCGAGCGTGTAATAATTAGTGAGTCATTGCTACCATATTCGGCACCAATGGGTCACTTCGTTTCCTAGGTGGTCCAAAAGGAACCAAGCATGCAAGAACTCAGGCCTCCCTACAATACCCGTCTGAAACATTAAGCTTGGTTTACACTGTCAAAGTTTCTATGTGACCACAGTGGGAATATTGCACAGCTAAGTTATGAAGGACTTGTAAGAAAACTACTAAGACTAACGCCTGTATTCTAACACTCAATGAGTGGAAGTTCAATCTGAGCTTCTCTCGATTGTCATTGCTGTTTTTGAATACGGCTGCATGGCTCACTCTCCCTATTCAAAAACAGCAGTTCACACTCAAGGGAAACTCAGATTGAACCTCCACTCATTGAGTGTGAGTGAACTTTTAGAATACGGGCGTAAGTGTTTAACAGTCAGTTTCCTCAAACATTTCTTACAAATCCTTCAAAACTACGTAGAATTTACCTATGCAAAATTCCTACCGTGTGATCACACAAACTTTGATAAAAGCCTTTACAAAAAGAAACAGCCTGGGTGGAGCATACGATTATACAGACCTACAATCATTGACAATATAGATTGGGACAATCTAGTTTTCACATGCATTCGATTGTAATATACAATTTACTGATACATTTTTTCCATCCTCCCTCCCCCCACCCGTTTCAATGTTGGCCCCTCGCAACCATACATCAGATTTTTGTTGGCTCAGCATTGAACTGGGCGAACGGGGGGCGCTATTCCTTTCAAATTATATGAAATTACAGCAGCTTTCCCATAGTTTCTGGCAAAGATTGTACATAAACAACCATAAGCACAACCGCCTCCCGTTTCCTTCCAGAAGAAACCGAACCAGAAATCAGATTGCAAAGAAATATTTTCCATCGGGCTTAAGTACGACCCCCTGACGTGCGTGTTTTCATTCCGCAAAAATTGTTAAAGATTATCGCATTTTATTAGGTTTAACATAAACACTGCCACGATGTTCCAGAACAACCGGCGATTCCGCCAAAAAAACCTTATCAATGAACTTGTAATTCACAACAGTAACAGTTTTTAATCTATAATATGAAGTATGACCATTTAGACATTGAGCTTAATAGTGGCCAAATGCACTCAATGTCACAATGCAAGCAAAATACAAATCGCTATGTTAATTTTTGTTTGCACGACTATGATTTCCGTTGAGATTTCCGTCGTTAATCCGTTATTGTTTGATTTCTACTTAGTTTTGTTTGGTTAATTTAAAAACCAGTGGCTACGATAGATAAACTGCAGTGAGGTCATGCACGTTTTATTCAATGAAATATAGCCAGACAAATGCTGCCACTTGGAGAAACTCTCGACAACAAATTTACTTTATTTATACTGCATGGGTTAGGGTTAAGCACTAGAGCTGGCAGTCTTAATGCGGCTTTCCTATAAACTATGTTAATCTGGAGCTAACCCCCCCCCCCTCCTCCCCGCCCCTGAAATTTTATGATCAGGGGAAAAAATTAATACGTTAGGCAATTTCATGAACGTCGGGGCAAGTTGAGGCCCCCCCGGCAATTTTTTTTCTCCCGTTCGCCTATGTTGCGATTGCCAGTTCTCATGAACTCTCATTCTCGATTGACCGGGGCTTATATTTCATGTTACTGACCATTACTGATATCTTATCAGAATTATAGAAAATCCGAAAGTGATGACATCACCGTGACTAGAAGCAGCTGAAACGGAAAGCGAAGCCCCCATTTCGTCGACGAATTTCGTTGTATTGATAAAGTGCAAGTGTGCAATATTATAATCTTACAATGAGGAACTGCTTTTGTTGAAAAGGTTCCTGGTGGATTTCCGTTTGAAAAGTTTCCCAGTACAAAAGAGGGCCAGTCTTTCAAAATTGTAGCCGGTAAACTGGTTTGTTTGGCGCGGTGATAAACTTCACCGCGGATTGCTTCGCCATGTAGCGGTTTTCATGAGCAACATCACAAACATCATATTCACCTGAGTACATAACACCAACACAGAAAAAAAGTCTTATTTATCAGAAATCAAGTACATGACTAAAGAAGGACAATCAGTTTCTTTTTGGATGCTACTGTAACATGCAAACACTTAGTCTTAGCTTGCTTAACGTCCGTTTATGCGGATGTGAACAAGTAGATGAGTTATGAATTAACAGTTGATCAATGCTAAATACTTGTCAGTAGGAAATAGAGAATAAAAAAAAGCCGATTTCCTTTACTTTCCTTGACGAAGATAATTTCCAGACCTGGATCAGTTTGAAATATTGAATTTCATGACTTTCCAGCCACGGCCCGTACAAAATACAAATCCTGAATTAAACTCGATCGAATGAGCAAGATACGTTTCGGTATTATTATAGGCGCTTTCCATGTAATCGCCAGGACGCGTTCAGACCAGAATTTCTGGTTCTTTGTGTTAATGGAAAAATCTGGTTTCTCTAAAATGGACCTCCTTCTAAATTTGACCCAAAGTTTGCGGTCAGATTGGAGGTCAGATCTGTCTGAAGGCGATCAAGCTGTGCTAATGGAAAGCGTCCACAAACTTTTCCTGTTAATTCATTATGAATAAGTGTCGCAACAGAGGTGTCGCAAATTCCTGTAGTAAGTACGATTGGCGATTGCATGTCAAAGTGAAATTTATGTGCCGTAGCCTTATCTTAGCGGATCTGTGTGTACATAAATATGGCATTAGACGAGCTATCAGTTGAATATCAGACACGATTTATTCCCAAAATCATTGCCAGTGAGAATTCGTCTCGATCGTTCGTCAGTGTTTACAGTAGACAAAGACATGAGGTGTCTGGATCGTTCGACAGTAGTTACACGCATTACAAGCCTCAGTCTGTGATTACAAGGGTAAGACGGGTGGCCGTCAGCCTGGTGATACAGCTTGACGATTGAATTGGCTTTCATGTAAGCTGAGCCGAGACAAACTATCCGAAACATATCAGGCACAATTCATTCTCGGAATCATCGTCGGGCTAAGATCGTACCGCTATCCAGCTTTAAATAAATGATATTTGAAAAATACACTGTCAACGTCATCTGACGACATCGTCAACTGACAAGATTCGTCGTTAACATTCAGCAAAACCTGAAATCGGCCCGATTAATCGTTGTGTATAAATGTAGCTTAACACGGTTGACCCCGTCAGACAGACGACTAATTTTGATAAATTGGTTCGAGATTCATCTCTATCGGTTAACTATCGCTTGTTAACTTCTAAAAAAAAGTTTTTACGTATTGTATATTTGTACGAATCTCACCGAGATTCTACTAGTACGTTTGTCTGGATAGTCCGTCTAATGTTTACACTAAAGTCTGGTTGACACTATCAAAGTTTCTGTGAGTCACAGTACGAATTTTGCATGGATAAATATCTAAGCTTTGAAGGATTTGTAAGAAATGTTTGAGTAGTCAGTGTTAGCACTGAGTTAGTTGCCTCAAACATTTCTTACAAATCTTTCAAAACTCAGAATATTTACCCATGCAAAATTCCTACTGTGATTACAGAAACTTTGGAGCAATATGTCGATATTATAAAGTGCAAACGGATCTATATATTAAGTCTACAGGCGAACCCCGGAACACTTGTGTGTGTCATATTTCGTTTACGTAATAAAAATGACATATTAGGGAACTCAGTTGCCCAAATGAAGTCTTGATAAACTATATATTTTATGTAATAAATAAAGCGAAGTTCATAACTATTCATATTTGTCTAAACTATCGACTGTCGAAAGGAGTTAACGCTTTAAAGAGTACAATACGTAAATCCTATGGAAAAAATTGTACAAAGGCATTCATGTAATTGAATTTACTCGCAAGCTACTGACGCATTTTGACGCGCCGACTAAGAGTCTAAGTGTTTATGAGTTGTTTTGTACAACGACTTTTGATACTGGACGTTGAGACTTGATCAACAGTTTATGAACACAAGATCCTGCATCGAAGTGTGTCGTGTAATGCGAAACATTAATCTTATATACATATATTATCGCCTTGAACAGAATAATAAACATTCAGTTGTCAAAAAGCTTATTTGTACATGCATCTTATATTTCCGTACTAATATCACCAAAGAAACAACCTGCAAAATATCTATCAATGCCAAATTCAGGTGAAATTAAGGCACTTCAGTGAGATAAGCTATCTTCGCGAAAATAAAACGCCGATTCCCTGAACGTACTACGATTCCCAGTGCTCCTGTCTGAATTTCTTCGCATGTCTGAGTTGAACTTTTTAAGACTCAAGGCTATTACATTGGGCGACATTGTAGGCTCCGTTAGAAAGGTTCTTGTATAGTGCCTTGCCAGACATCGTTAAAGTTACATAATGAAACTCGTTTATCATATAAATACACCTTGGCATCAGCTATATACACACTGTATATTACAAAAAAAAACGCACTACAGCA